TATGAAAAGAGAATGTTTAGGGTCTCTTTACTAACAGAGATATTTTCCTGTTTTCTACTTCTGTTTTTTGTTCTCCAATTTTCTGTTTTTATTTTTAAGTTTTTCTATCTCCAATTTTCTGTTTCTATTTTTTAGTTTTCCATTTTCAAATCTAAAAACATGTTCATCAATTTTTTCACTCAATTCTCCAATTCCACACCCTTGACCCATACCCCTACCCTTATCACGATCTTACACTCTACCCATACTCCCCCACAACCCTTCATACCCATCCATACCTACTCGTAGGGGTCAGGGTAGGGAAGTTGTGGGTGGGGGTGGGGTAAGGGGTATGGTCGGGTGGGGTGGTAAGGTCTAGGGGTAGGGGATTGGGTGGGGGTAGTGGGTGGGTTAGGGTCGTGGTTAGGGGTAAGGGTGGGGTAGTGGGTGGGGGTTGAGGTAAGGTAGGGGTAGGGTAGGGAGTTGGGATAGGATGGCGGTAGGGTGGGGCCGAGGTAGGGGAAGGGTAGGGTGGGGGTAGGATGGTGGTGGGGGTAGGATGTCGGAAGGGTGGGGTAGGATGGCGGTGGGGTGGGGCCGAGTTAGGGGCATGTGGTAAGTGGTAAGGGGTATATATACTATACGGGTGGGGGCAGGGTAGGGTGGGTCGGGGTGGGGTCGAGGTGGCAGGGGTGGCGGTAGGGTAGGGTGGATCGGGGTGGGGCCGAGGTAGGGGCATGTGGTAGGGGGTGGGGTAGGGTCATTATAGGGAAAAATGGGTATGTGGGGTGGGGTTGGGTGGGTAGGGTAGGGTAGGGGGTAAGGTACGAGGATGGAGGTACCGGAATGGAATCGACATCGGAGCAGGACCGGATCCATTACTAGGTGTAAGTATGCAAATTCATTGCAGCGGTACTGTAGCATCTGCGTTTTCCAAATTTGGAAAACTAGTAAAAGTCACTTCTCCAAATCATTAAAGAAAAGATAGACATGTCTCATTTTTTCCGTTTTGGAAAACGATTTGGTAAACGCATTTTACTTTTTTCCTTTCTCCAGTTTTCCAGCAATTTCTTTGGTAAACATGTTTCATGTTTTCTGTTTTCCTGTTTTCCAATTTTATGAAAAGATGGAAAATATCTGTGTTAGTAAACAGGCCCTTAGAGTTTAAGTTAGGGTTTAGGATCCGCCCAATTGAATCCCCAAGTATTTAACCCGGGACTGGTAACCGCTTGTACCCGATCGGGTACGTAGTTTTGACCCGGACTGGAAAACCGGACTCAAATACTCAATCCGGTCCCGCACAGTAGCGGTCCCAGTCCCAGACCGGTCCACCTCTAGAGAAGTATAAAAAATTGAACCCTTATATGGGGTGTGCTAAAAGTGTACTCATTTTGGGGTTTAATGCACCAAACCCCCTCGTGAAATATAAATTCGGCGCATTAGCCCCCTATGATTTAAAAAATGCATCAAACCCCCAAGGTTTTAAAAGGCGTTTAGCCTTTACGCACTTGAGGCACAAAGGCGTTAAGGCGTTCGTTATTCGCCTGAGAGGCTTAAGCCTTATCTTCCGCTAACAAGGCCTACACCTTAGATTTGCTGAGGCGTTTAATCGGCCTGGGGCGCAAGTCGGATACGAGGCGTATGCTAGGGGTGGACACAAAAAAATCGTAACCGAGTAACCGTGGGAAAAAACTGAAAAACCACTATTTTTAAGAAATAGTGGTTAACCGTGGTTAACCGTACCAATTTTTTTTTAAGAAAGTCACGGTTCGGTTAACTGATTTAATAAAAAAACAGTTCACAGTCGGTTTATCGCTTTGAAAATGATACCATGGGTTTACCGATGTCAATTCACGCTCTACCCAGTTGCCGTTCTTCTTCGATCTCAAGCTCTCAGTCGCAGCCCAGAACGACTAGTAGGTTGCCCTTCTTCTTCCATCTCCAGCCTCCGCCTGCCTTTGTTCTTAGATATCTATCACGAACTGCAATCTGCCGATCTGAAGTCGATCGATCTCTTCTTATCTACACGACTACACTAGATCGAATCAACTGTCCAGGTATTTTATCCTCCCTCGAATCTGTATCTGTCCAATTCTTATCCTCTTCTCAATTCTTAAATTTGTTTCCAATTCTTAAATTATTCCTCCCTCAAACCTAAAATTTAATTGTTTTTGTTTTATCTCTATAATTAATTGATTATTTGATTATACTATATAATTGCGCGCATGTTATGATGTTTAGCGTGCGATTTTGGATTATAACTAATATGTTCAGAAAGGTGGGATGGAAAATGTGAAGAGGGTTAGTAAATCCTTCAATTGTTCGTATGGTGATTGCTTAGCTTCTGCCTTCTGGAATTATTGAATTATATTTTTCTATCACTTTATCTGTTTTTATTCATTTCATGTTCAGCAATACAATAGATATTTATTTTTATCAACTGCCACTTCATTTTTGTAGGGAAATAAACAAATCTTGAAGCTGAAGACTTATGCTGTAGACTTGAGCTGCTTGTGGTTTTAGCTCTGGAGATTAATTGTGAGACTTTTTTTAAATTTTCATGTGATACAAATGAGATTTGGAGAATTTTATCTTTGAGATTTGTTTTAAGATGTTTCAAAAATCATGTAATACAGATGAGATTTGCAATCATGTACTCCGTATTTGTTAACACTCACATGTAGGCATGTAGCATTTCTATGGTTTTATGGTTTTTGGTTAACCGGTTTGCGCTTAACCGAAATTTTGGTTAACCGGTACTCGTTAACCGAAGTTACGGTACGGATAACGGTATCAAAAATATAGTAACCGATTTATCGGTTAACCGAATGTTGGTTAACCAAAACACAGTTAACCAACCACGCCCACCCCTTGCCGTACGCCTCTGATTTACGCAAAATTTGGGCTTGTTTTTTAAATTATTGGGGCCTCAATTTTATTTTCATCCTAAAATTATACCTGCTTAGTCAGCCCAAGGTCGGATATCAACGTAGCCATATCCGCTGGTCTTCCAATCGGCAATCGTTGGTCTTCCGATATCAACAAACGACTTCCAGGAGTGCTGCTCAGCTTACTGTATCAGTCGAAGCTCCGTACTGACGACTCCGTACTGAGGTGCTTCACTGCTTCGAACATCACTTTCCCACCGTCTAACTTCTTAATTTGTTATTGTGTTTATATTCAAATTTTTTTATTCACAGTTTTTTTTACGTATTTAAAGTTCTGTTTTGAACTATTTCAAGTTAGTATTAGATAGTACTCCTATAATGCACTTCCTGATCTTTGTTAGTTTGTCATTTAACTTTACTAATGCATTTATCAAGCCTACCGTTTAATCTTGATGAGTTGTCATACAAAACTATCATTTAGCTTAGTAATTTATTTGTTATTATGTTATTCGAGTTTTATGTTATTTTGGCCTGGATATTTTAGTGTTATGTAATTTTTACTTGATTTTGTTTAGCTATGATATTGTTTAATATTTAAACAACTAATTTCGAGGCTTACGCCTCGTATAAGCCTCAAGGCTTACGCCTCGCGAGGCTACCATCGAATGCCTCGGGGCTCGATTTCGCCTTTCAAAACCTTGCAAACCCCCTTGTGTTATACTTAATCATGCGCCAAACCCCCTCCAAGAACAAATTTTACAATTTTGAAATCACTTTTTTCAATAATATGGTTTAATATGCAAGTAACTTTGTCAAAATTTCTAAATTATAGAAAAAAACTAACCATTTTTCATTTTTTGGAAATTAAATTTGTTCTTGGAGGGGGTTTGGCGCAAATTTTTAATTATAACACAGGGGGGTTTGATGCATTTTTTAAATCACAGAGGGCTAATGCGCCGAATTTATATTTCGGGAGGAAGTTTGGTGCATTAAACCCACTCATTTTGTGTACACTAGCATTTTTGAAACATAATTACTTCTCATTTTACCAAAAGATCCCATAGATTGCAATAGGAACCGTACAGTCATTGTTACCACATGGTACCTATGAGACTTTGGGATTTGGGAAGGTTGCAATATGCATGATTGCATGACATGAAGTTGGTATACAACATTAAGCTCACCTTCCTTGGATCTCTACTTCCTACCAAGGAAAAACCTAATCATGGTGTTTATAATTCGACTGTATTGATTTGGGATTGAAATAAATCTAATTAATAACATCCTTGATCAGTCCTGGCCTGGAGGAAGACGAAAGAGCTCTCAGTTTGGTAAGTAGGCCCAGATTTGCTGTTTTCCCAATTCGATGTCGTTGATGTCCAATGGCTTCAAAAGCTACTGTGGAGTTAGTTTTGCTAGAATAGACTTTCAGATGATTGGGTTGACTATTCTGGCTTTGCTAGTGTTTGAGATGAAATCCGGGTGGAATTTTGGCGGTGAGGAGTCCGATAGAAGAAGCGACTTTGGGATCCAATTCGGTGCTTGAGGGATCAATGCGGGTGACTCATGGGGTGGAGGACGAAGACAGAACGTGGTTGACTCGTCCCCCTCCGGAACCGCCACCACAGAGAAACCCCAAGACTAACGTCTGGATTTTACTGTCCCACCAGTCGTCAGGCACAGCACTGAGAGGCACCGGCCGGCAACTTTGGGGGTTGAATAAGGCATAGAGCCCTGAAGACCTTTTTATGCTTGCTGTTTTTCCTTTTATTTTGCTCATGTTGTTTTTATCATTATTTTGAACTCTAGTGGTAGGTTGGTGTTTGTTTTTTTTACTTGGTTTGGGATGATAGTGTTGGTGGAAGCGATAAGGCTTGTTTGGCCGTTAAAAGCTTCGAAACTCTCACATGGTTCGCAAATAGTCTCGCTCCTTATGGAGTGGTCTATTCTAAGTCTAGCCAGAGAGTGGAAGGGCCTTTGAGCTATGTGGAGCCTCACGAGGAGGTTTGGCGTTGCAAGGGAGGAAGTACTCTTAGAGTTTTGATTGAGGAGTTTGGCATTGTAAGGGGAGGGTATGTTGACAAGTTTGCTTGATAATAATATAATCACTTTCCTTTCAAAAAAAACATCCTTGATCACTTTACCTATTGTCAGACTACATACTCAGTAACTAAATAACAAATAAGGTAAGCAGTTAACCATTACATTGCCACTTCAACAAGGAAATAGTAAAAATAATGTTGCCTTTCCTTTTGGCGCACTGCTTTGCTGCCATAAACATGTATCATACTACCAACATACTAGGAAAATGCAGCTCTTGGAAACAAGGCACTTATTGTTCACTACACAATCTAAATTAGCACACATCGTAATGATCGTTGGGCAACATTCATCGATTGCCGCAAGAAAACCATAGCCTTGCAATAATGTTTTGTTGAACAACTATTACACATCAAGAAGTGCTATGGGTAGGATAACAGCTAGCTTCTTCACAAGAATATCATGGAAGTTACTCTCATTAGTCTAAGTGGAAGCTGACAGCACTAAAAAATCCTGCACAAACCATAGGGTAATGAAGGCACACAAAAAATATCTCAGGACATTCCAATTCACTCCGAACCTTATAGTAATGTTTTTAGAGTTTTTAGAGTATTATTTATTAGTCTTGAGTCAGGGTGCATGATCATTGGTTCATGGTGTCATGGTTTTTGCAGTGGTGTGTGGAGTACAGTAGTATATACTCCGTATGATACTCCATATATCATTTCTCTTTTATGAAAGAAAAGACTTATTATTTCAGTTACAGATTCTCTAAGAGTCCACTTGATTAATGCTACGAAGCAGGGTATAATAAGAACCGACCTTTCACATAAAAATCACTGCAATATAAACCTCTAATTTACTTACCCATATCACTACAACCCACAAAATACAGAGTAAGATCTAACTATAACAAAGCATACTTACTAAGGGGTGAAAATGCTTTACAGAAACAAAAGGGAACGGATTTTACCAGGTTGAGTTTTTTATGCAAGGGAAGGGATCATCCCCGTCTTCCTAGCGTAGGCGAAAATCCCACCAGCATCAATCACAGGTCCAGCATCCCCAATGGGTTTCAGCTTGTATTCCTTCCCACTAGTATGGTTGATCAACCTACTCTCACCGAGCTCAAGAGTGACCACATCTCCAGTCTTACACTCCTCGCATATCCTCACATCGCATTCCACAGGATAGATTTCCCCTGTAGAGACCGAGTTCCGAAAGAATATACGGGCATAAGACTCAGCAACCACAGCAGAAACCCCGGCAGCGCCGAGGGCAACAGGGGCATGTTCACGGGAGGACCCGCATCCGAAATTATCACCCCCAATAACAATTGAATACTTGGATTTGTATTCGCCAGGATCTATGAATCGAGTTTGGTAGGATGCTGGGAGACCGCATAGGGCATATGAGCCAAGCTTTTTGTATTCCTCCTGCTTGGAAGGGACTAGGGTCAGGTATTCAGCAGGAATGATTTGGTCAGTGTCGATGTTGTCTCCAACAACGTAGCAGAGGCCGTGGAAGGTGGTAGATGGGGCGGAGGCAGTGGATGCATCAGAGGTGGAAGCAGATCGAAGAGGAGTGACGAGACTGTGAAACTGGGAAGGAGTGTAGTGGGAAATTAGGGGCTGAGAGGGATAATTTTGGGTAGATGAAGCAAGCTTGACGGAAGAGAAATGGGAAAGAATAGTAGCTTTGTTGGGTTTGATGGATGATAGGTTGAGAGGGCAGGTGCGGAAGAAGGCTGTTGAAGCAGCCATTGAAACTTTGATCGAGCAGTCTGGCGCTCTCTGCACTCTGCAGGGGTGGATCTAGTTTTGGCATTCGGGGGCAAATTGTTATGGAAAACCGTCCTCTAACTAAAAAATGTCAATTAAGTTCTTTATAGGAGGGTTCTCCATCGCAATTTGGGGCAGTTCCCGGTAGAATTTTTTGATGAAATTTTTTGAGCATCTTATTCAATAAGTCTAGTTTACTCATACCAAATTTCAACTAAAAATTCAATCGAGAACACATTCAAATTAATTCTTGAAGATAACTGCGCATTTTTGTGTTCTCAAATTAATTTGAATGCGCTCAAATTATATCGGGAGCCGCCGTCCATCAAGGTTTTCTCAAAAGGCAGACTTAAGGACTTCAATCAGAGAAAGAGATGGGAGTTGTGGGACTGCCGAGCAAAAGACTGGTAAGACGGTGGAGTGGTGATCCGTTACCTCCTTCACGGCAACAGAGATGGAAGCTGCGTCCATGGTGGAGTGGGGCAGAGCTTGGCCACCACCGATTTGAGAACGATTTGGTCGGAGCTTCGTATCAAGTGCTCCACAGAATTAGAGATAGACTTTTATAAATTGAATATGTTATTCTTAGAATCTTAGTCCATGGATGTTTCTTCAAGCTTTTGTTTATGCTGCTATGGAGTTCAAAGTCTACGGATGAGTGTAGCCGTGCAGGGCTTCTCATTTTTATTCATCTACAACAAGTTACATTTTTTAAAAAACGATTTACATTTTCATTTATATCAAGTTACACATCAAAACAATACGAGTTACACAACAAAGTAAACCCTTGTTATCCAAAAACGATTTTTTTTAATTAAAAATCATTTTTCATAATAATGATATTAATAACAAAACATATACACTTAATCAAGCTCTTATTTTTCATTATCTACATTGACATGAATCTTTTACTTCTTATATTATACTCCCTCCGTCCCTTATAACTTTGCCAACTTTCCTTTTTTGGATGTCCCATTAACTTTGCCACTTTCCCATTTAAGTAAAGAATTTGTGGTTCCAGTTAATTCTCTCTCCTCTGCACAAACCTCAACCACACAGTTTTTACTTTATTAATCCCCGTGCCGGTCAAACTTGGCAATGTTATTAGGGACGGAGGGAGTATTTTAGACAATTTACATTTCAACTTGACTAAAGTTACATTTCTTATAATCGTAGTTACATTACTTTAAGCACGAGTTACACGTCAGTTTGCTGCTGAAAGCAAAAAAAAAAAAAACAAGGAACCCTGGGGTGAGCCGCTCCCACGGTATACGTACTCTTTCTACGGGTTTTCATCGACAGGTATCTTTTGATAATGACATCATTGTCAATTTTCAAGAACAAGTCTTTTTCTACATAAACAAGAAGCTTATCATTAATCAAGTCAACACTCCTCTGGTATTCTCAATCCAGGGCAGATGGAAGTTGGGAAGAATCAAACTCTTCAATTCAACTATAAATGATTGTCTATTACTACCTCCGTCACTTAAAAACCTTCCCATTTCAAAAGTAGGTAGATTAAGAATAGTGAAAGAGGATATGAATTATTGAGGATATGATGGGAAGATAGTAGAATAATGTGATGGAATGTAGGATAAATTCAAAAAAAGTAGTTGTAATAGTGTATTATTTTGAGAATTATTGAGAGTATGATGAGAAGATTTAGAAATGAGAAGATTTTTTTGTTACGGATGAAAAAGAAAAGTGGGAAGATTTCTATGTTACGGAGGAAGTATTTATGTTCTTTTGTTCATTATTTGTATTTAAAGTTTCTTGAACTGTAGTTCAGGCCACAAATTCCGGGTGAACCATCTTCATTAGCTCCTACATCAACCGAGTTAAAGTATCTCTTCAAGGCCAATACCTTTATTAAAAACAATGGGATTACTAGGTACTACACTATTTCTAACTATTTGAAATTCATACAATCAACTTTTTCACGGAGAGAGTATTTGTTAACCACCTCTTACTAAATTATACGTATATCATTTCCATTTTAATAAGTTACGTGTTTGGTGATAAAGTTGGCTGATAAGCTGAAAAACTGGGCTACCAAACGGACTCGTAATGTTCCTTATTTCAAATCATATTGTGAGCCCGTTTGGTAGCACCAAAATCGGCTGTTTTGGCTGATTCTGCTGAAAATTATGATATTCTGGCTGGAGTGGCTGTTTTGGCTGATTCTGCTGATTTAAGAAAAAAATATTTTAAAAATATATTTTATTAATAAATTAAAGAAAAAATTATATGTAAAAATAGCTAAAATGGTCCTCTACAGTAACTTCAGCCAATACAGCCAGAAAAGTAACTCCAACCTTACTTTTTCGGCTTATTACACAATTCAGCGCGCGAAAGTAAAAATTACGTGTTTGGTGAAAAAGCTGGCTGATAAGCCTGATAAGCCGAAAACAGAGTTCTCCAAACGGGCTCTGTATTTATGGAATGAGAGAATATGGAATCTAAAATTATGGCATTAAATCATCTCATTATTAACTCAAAATATAAATTTTGAACGTGTGATAGATAAAAGGTGCATGTTTTTGTAGTTTGTACTTAATAGCAATTATATCATTCATCAATTATACTTAATAGCAATTATATCATTCATCAATTGTACTTAATAACAATTAGATAATTGATAAGTTGTACTCAATAGCAATTACTATAAAGGTTCTACTTTATTAGTAAGTAAGTAGATATGTAATTTTTGTCTTCTCATACTAAATTGTATAGTTGGCTACACTACAAGATTAATTTAGCTATTTTTCTTAATTTTATTAATAATCTATATTTAATATAAAATTTCATAATTCAGATAGAATTTCAAAAATTTCATCCAATTTAGTCAATTTGAGTGTTAGCCATGTGTTATTGGATAAACAATACTTTTATAATATGATTTTGTTCTTTTCTATAAACCTTTAAAATGCCTGGATTTTAATTGAGATTAACATTTGGGGTCCTACTTATTTTAATGCATTTTTCTATTCTTATTTCTTACGCATTCTTGAAAATGAAGATTTTAAACATAAAAAAATAAACTAATTTTGTTAAAATATACTCTTTCCCTATTCCCCTATTCCAAAATTTGCTACACTTTCTTATTTAAAATGTATTTAAAAGATGTATTTAAAAGTTTGTTATTCTCCTTACGTTTTCTACTTTTTATCTTCTCTTTCTTGTTTTTCCACATTCTGTCCTACGTTTTATGTACTATTTATTACCTCTACAATTTTCCCTTTAAATATTGTGGCAAAGTCTAATGTCACTTTTAAATACGGAAGAAAGATAAATTTGCTAATATTTTCATTGTGTTTTTTAAAATGACGGTGAATTGGAGTTGTATATTACATGAAATAGTTCTATCGCACAGGTACTATAATTAAAGTAAAACAAAACCTGAAAATCAAGCTAACATTCATATGCAGGTACAAAATTGTAGCTAAAATTCGACTCAAATCTGTTGGATCAAAGAAAGTAAGGGTTGATAGAACAAGCAAAGACAAGCAATCACAATTCATGCATCAAACCCTATAACTTATAGCCAAAATGCAGCTTTTGTTTCTTTGCAGAAGATGTCACAGTGAATATACTTAGGTACAAGTGTACAACCGATTTCATGAATACATCACTAAATGTAAAGAAAATGATCCTACTAAGCTATCCTGACAAGAAGTAATTTACCCGTATCCTGAAAGTAATGAAATATGTACATCAATACTGGGGATCAATGACTTTTGATTGCCCAAAATGAAACCACTGGTTCTTGTGAGATGTTAAAGTGAAGGAAACAACAAAAATGACCGCAAAAGTGAACCCTGCTATGTAAAGGATAGCAAAAAGATCTTAATTGAGAAAAAAGTTTATCTACATGGTGTATCGTCATTTACACTTTGCCTCTGTTCCTACTCATACACACTTGCCCGGGAGGTTGGCTGCCATGTTATTCAACTACAGAATATTTTTAAAAAGAAGCAATCAGAAATTATACATGTTACCTTGAATGTTTTACTCTCAGCATAAGATTGTTGATTCCACAGAAACAAGCAAATTAAGAAGTCCTAAATAATACGCCTTGTTAGAAGGCAGTGTGAATGCAGTTAAAGGTAAAACTTACCACTGCATTATTATTTGGCCAACCCAAACTGGGATTGAAATGCATTTCATAAATGGACTATAATATGCAATCTATACATTTTGCAAATCTGAGTGATCAAGCAAATATTTCATTGGAATGGTCAGCATGCTAGAAGTGAAAAACAGATTATGCAAATTCTTGAAAGGTTTTCCGACTGTGGAATAGTGAATAACTGAATACATATACAAATAGGCATGTTAGGTTATTGGCATGTTACACCGTCCTGTGTTAAATAGTATAAACTGTAAAAGCAAGGGAGAGTACACTCCATTTTACGAGTAAAATCAAATTTACCAAATAATCAATTTAATGGCAATATCTCACCTGCGTCACCAAAAATTTGATTACTTCCTTTGCAGCAATGTTTTTCTCAGTCTCAACTTGGGCTGCATCTTGTGCCTCTATTAATCGCTTTAATGTTGTTTCAAGCTCCACTTCCAAGAACTGTGATCTATTCACGAGAGTTTCCACCTGCAAGGCATACAACTATTTAAGGTTTGTGACAACAAGCTACTTGCTAGACCCATCAGAGTACGGGAAATTATTAATTTGAAAGGAACACTTCATCCCAACACAGTATATCTGAAACCAAACCACTCAACTAAAAGATGCCATTTGAAGTTTATTAGTACAAGCCAATGAATTGAAGTTAAACATACAATTTTTCTCAAATAGGAGTATCATTGTTTTCTTCTCCAAACAGGACTCATGCACTCCTATTTAGGGATTTTTTTTATCCTTTTATTCTTTTAATAGGATTACATAAATCCTATATTTGGGGAAGAAAACACTCTTAGTCCTATTTTAGATTATTTCCTATGGTTTACTCCTATTTTGAGCAATTTCTTATGAAATTTTAAATAATATATACAGGGGTTGAGTTGGGGTTGAGGAGGGAAGCTGCTACCACCCTAGATACGCCCCTGGTTCTTACAAAACTTTAGTTCTCTAGCATTTAAAGAATTTCTTTAAAACCCACCAACCTCCAGCCCAGTTACCACAAGCTAGTGGTCTATGCCATGTAATTTTCCACCAGAAATAATACGTTCTGGTGAAAAGTATTTGATGTGGACAAACTTATTAGTCAAAGGACATGATCTACAATTGAGTAACATTACAGGAATAAGAATGGGTACAAACATAAGTTACTTTCGATATTATAAAAAATTAGCAAATCTCCTGTAATATAAAACTTTCCATAATCAAATAAAAAATACTCTCAGAGTATGTTATTCTACATCCAACAACTGTGAATGATACCAAGCAATTGTAGTTTACCAGACTGCATTCTCAAACTGAAAATTACCTGCTCTCTTAATATTTATAGTTCTTTTGTGAGAGTTTCACTTGTATCTCTTTCTCTAGCAACAACTCCAGGATTTCCCACCAGAGGAAAATCACATGCCTTCGAAAAGGAAGGCGTATGACTTGAACTTATAGATGCAGGAGAATCTGATAGAGAATGATGTGTTGATCCAGGGATGTGAAACAGTGTTTTGTCAGAAAAGTCAAGCATAGATGTAGGACTTGAAACAAAAGATCCATCCCATTGAGAACTTCCACTAGAAGCACCATGACTTGAATTTTGTTTCTGGTTACTCTTGGAGTGCTGATTTTCAGACCATCTGAATGAATCAAATGATGAAAGCTCAAAAGCAAGGCCTTTGATCTTATGGTTAATACGTTTCTCCTTTTGCTCACTGAAACTCTTGTAAGGAACTAAGCCACATGCCTTTGGCGGTAAAGTGGTAGGTGAACTATCCAAGCCCTTGTTGAGTTTATTAAAGCAATCTTCACATACACGATAAGGTTTATTCAAACTTGGAGCCAAGGAGGCTTTCACTGATTTCTTACTCGTGCATGTCTTGCAAAAAGCTAGCCCACAGTTGTAGCAATTATGACGCTTCCTTCTGAAGTTAAATGAAGAGTGGCAACCCGAACAAATGGAATAATCATACATCGATAATTCTTTGTGAAGACAAGTGACGGCAGTGAAATTTTTCCCACAAACCACACTTTTTACGCATTTGTCTCTCAAAGCCTCAACCCGTGTAGGGATACTCCTGTCATAGTTTTCACCATGTCCTAGTTGGCCATTCCCTCCCTTTCCCCATGTGTATACCTCGGATTGTGAACTCAATGCTGCAACATGAAAAGAACCACACGCTATTTCTTCAATAAAACTGTCCTTAATTTTTCCATGGACAGAAGAAGGAAGTCTCCCTGTACTCCCTGGAACTCCAAGTTGTCCATGATCAGCACTTCCCATAGTATATATTTGTCCCGAGGTTGTAAGTGCAACCGTGATGCTACAACCACATGCAACCTGACAGAAGTTTGTACCTTCTAAAACAGCAAGAACACATGGTACAAGTCTAGATATGTTATCCCCGTGTCCAAGCTGACCATCATCCCCATTTCCCCAAGTAAACAGCCTGCAAGTTAGAGAACCACAATCAAGATTTTCTGAAGTGGACTCTACAACAGCAGCAGTATGCCAATATCCACATGAAACTTTTGTTGTTCTTAACCCTTTCAGAGATTCAACCTCCTTAGGAATGCAAGTGCTACAGTGGTCTCCATGACCTAGGGCACCAAAACTTCCATCCCCAAATGTAAACAATTCACCCATGGATGTTAGAACAGCTGAATGCCAAGGTCCACATGAGATCATTGATACATGTTTATCCTCCAATGAGCCCCTTACCTTTTTCGGGGTCCAGTGGTTGATTCCAGTGCCATGCCCAAGGAGGCAAAAGTTGTAAGTGCCATCTCCCCATGTATAGAGTTCCCCATCAATGGTTATAGCACATGAATGATATTCTCCACATTCTGCAGATGTAATGGTGAACCCACTGAGGGTGTCAATAAGTTTCGGGTTATAGATATCAGACTCTATTCCATGCCCTAGTCTACCAAAAGATCCGTCTCCCCAGCTATAAGTCTCTCCATGTTTTGTGATGAGAACTGCATGCCTACTCCCACAGGAAATAATTTGAGTATCGAGCACTGATGCTGATTCAAGAGTCTTTGGCAATAAAGAATCCCTTGATGCACCAGGTAAGCTTCCACCACTATAAAGCCCACCACCCAATAGATCATCACCAGTTCCTTCGCCCCACACTAGGACGTCTGTATCAGAATTTCCAAAAGATCTCTGGCTAGATGAACTAATGGCACTAGAGAAACTAACTCGAAATGTATCCACAGAGCTCCGCCCATTTTCATCATCTAAGTTCTTAAATAATCTTGAACTAATGGAATTGGAGACTAAATCTCTATGGGAAGAACATGCTGCTGTATTATAAAGTAGAATATCGGAGATGGCTCTTACCAATCTTGTCTTATGGGGGCTCTCAAATGCATGCTGATTTAAATGATTTTCCCATGGGTCCTGTGGCCAGGAAAAAATGAAATTAGCGAAAGAAATAAGAAACTGTTTAAGAGAATGACACAGCAGGAAACCTCATTGGTAAAAATATCATTACTGCTGCCAGTCAGTGAAATGGACTGGGATCTTTGTTGGGTCAAGGCACTTGAACTATCTGATGAAGTACTATGTCTTCTTATTGTGCTTCTCCATTTTTCACAGCTATCCGGAGAAATAAGTGCCCTGAGCGCAATGAACCAGATTTCTGCCTCATCCTTATCTTTGCAAATCTGTCAAGTACCAATTACTTTAAGCATATATAAATGCGGATATCAAATTCATTTATATGTTTTTATTTGGTTTTAACTCTAAAACTTGAATACGTGAATTAGGAGTCTTGGTATAGTGTTAACAAAACTCTATGGTCAGACGATTGGAACTCGTAAGCGTAGGTGAAGTCGTAGAGAGCAACATTACTTGCATGGTAAAAAGTTGATTATCTATGAAGAATGGCTATGGTAAGGAAAATTTGGAACAAGCTTCTTGCAAGAGTATTGGAGTAGAGAGGAAAAACATGTCTAAGATCTTCTATTCATACAATTTCTAAATTTTACTGCTATAACATAACTTGACAAGATCTGGAGAAAAGGAAGCCATAAAGGATCTAAACTAACTTATAAAGCTATCTGTGGAACCATATTATGAGCTGCTCACATAAATAATAATCACAAAAATGAGCATAAATGCACCCAATAACACGTGTCCAAATTAATGGATGCCCTTTAATATTGGTAGGTACTGGAAACTATACCCATCCTGTCTTTCCCTTCATTTATTTCGATTTCTTTGATTACCTACGTACCAATTCAATCCAGTGACTAGTGGATTCTTTTGTATTCTTCCTCACTTCAAGAAATATGAATTGTTTCTATTGTCAGTGAGGCAGCAAGGCAAATTACTGAATATTTTTATCATGTATAGGAGAGGATTATTGATATTTATCCTGCATATTACTGAATATTGCTGATTAGTGTGTTCTTTTGTCGGGCTCTCAGTCCATTAAGACAATTTGAAGTGCATGGAAAGGCATATTATACCAAATCTAAAGATCGTTTGTCATGTATGAGAGAGAAGGATTGATATTCTTTGTCAGGTCGAGGATGACGCTGAAATATTGCCTGTAAATTACATCAAAGTTACTTAAACATAACCTAAGCAACAAATATAACTATGTTGATGAAACTGAGAGAGGCAACTCAGAGGACAATCTTACAGTACGTTGCCCATGAATAATTGTTGAAACATGACTTAGTTGGATACTTTTCTCCTCCTTTCCACAATACCAAATCAGTCTTGTCTCGTCCTGGAACTCAGATTTAAAAAATTGGAGTCTAAGTATGATTGCATTAATGAAATAATAATAATAGTAATAATGATGATGATTAAATTGGAGTAAATAAGGTTAGGAATTCCAGAGTAGGACTGCTATATTTTTCTTCTCGAAATAGGAGTTACTGGCATAATTGAAAAATACTGCCATGATTGGAAAATACTGGCATTAATGATAATATTGTCATGTTTAATGCCTAATATTGCAACTATTTGGCAATAATGACTACAAGATGGCAGTAAATACTATCATGTTACTCCTATTTCGGGAAGAAAAACACAGCAATCCTATTTTGGAATTCCAAGACTTGTTCATTACTATTTCGGGAACTTTCCCTTATAATAAAACACGCAGCCCCCAACCCGTGTTCTCAAAAGGGAGCATGCATATTTGAATGTGATTCTTCTTTGATATCTGATTTCTAAAGATCTGGCCAAGCTTTGTTCACAAGCATCACAATTTAGATTTCAAAGAGCCATAGATGGACAAAATGGCATACACCGCGCTAATCATTCCCCACTTAGAAAAATTAAGCCTATAGCTTTCGGGATTTAGGTATAACCATTTTCCAGAACTAGAAAAGGGAGGAAATGGAAACAAAAAAGAGTTCCTAAATTACACAATCCATTTGCAAACCAAGTAATTTGACAGCTTCCTTTCCAACAAGCTCAACTGCTTTACAATGTGCTACTACTTTTTCAAGATAAATTTGTCTTTGAAGAAATGAATTTATCTAATGAATACGAGCCATAGGGCATTTGCACTTGATACACACTGTGGTCTACAGATATAAATGAATATCTACAAAGGAAAGCGAACTTGTAAGCATAAGTAATCCTACTTATATCAAACTCAATTTGAGGAATCAATGATTATTGAAAAAGTGCATACAGTTGAAAGCCGAAAAGGGCAAAACTTTGGCTTTCCTCTACGCCCATACTTGAGAAGGTACGATCCCCTTTTTATGGCTGTTATGGCCTGCAATTATAAACAACAGTTAAGTTATCCAAAACTACATGTGTCCTGAAAAAAACATGAACTATCTTGAATCCAGATCATGTTTTCCCCTTCAAAAATGAGGGGGGGAGTGGAAGGACCAAATTAATGAGTTTAGACTTGAAACTGTTTTGAAATTTTCTACCGTTGAAAAGTATACACATTATAAATAATTATTTCTTTCATATTCCATTCCACAGCAGATTCCAATTTTAACGAACTTGCTAGGAAATACAGAAACCATGCAAGTAGCTGGCTAGCTGCTAGCATTTATAAGAGATTCCCTGCTGATAAATAACTAAAGTGAGGAGCTTCACATTAAAGAGCTTGAAATCGAATGTGATTTGAAATTTCTTACCCTTGAGAAATATCTACTTGTATTAGGCAGAATTATTTCTTTCTTAGTATGGTGCATCACAAATTTTAGTTTAACTCACTAGAAAATATAGAAATCATGCATTTAGCTGGTAGCACTGACAAAAAGATTTGTTGCTGATTGAAAGATATTATTAGATAACTGAGGTGTGGAGCTCCAAACTAATGAAATAATTAGCTAAGAAGTGAATGTGATTAGTAATTCCTTACCCGATTAAGCCCTATATATGCAGATATTTTACTATGCTGGATTATGGGGGAAGGGGGGACTTTTAGATGGTAGGTATTCATAAAGTGGTAGTAAAGCATCTATAATACTTATCTCCTCAAGTTACACTACCTGCTCCACGTTCCTCCCGCCAAGACTGTTTCTCTGAGGATTATTCATTCAAGCTGACATGTGTGGGACAAGGCCAATTTGGATACTGGCAAACCTCTAAACAGCAGTACAGATGATACCAAATTTAGTCCATCAGAAACTTTTCAAAACACTATGGGTGAGAAACTAGAATGTAGGATTTCATGAACAATACACTAAATGCAATTACCTTGATAATAACTACATAGAATCACTGCTTTTGCCTCTTGTTTTGTTTCCCTCTTGATTAGTAAATAGATAGTGCGACCAGGCATTGATAAACTAATAGTGAAACCTTTGTAGAAGCTAAAGAGATTAAAGTTATGGAAAACAATTAAAATCCACTCCTTCCATCATCCTTGTACAATTAATGTATACTACGCTTTCATGAAAGCTCTAGCTGCCAGAACCACCAAAAGTCACAACAGAAGCCTTGTCTCATCGTGTCTGGATTGAAATTCTTGACTGTGCAAAGGGAGTACATATAAAGTTTGCTCCTTTAAATACCAGCAAGAAAAATAAGGACTGGAAATAAATATTTTGCAAATCACACAAAAAGCTAGAGTTGAATCAATCATTGATTAGAATGCAAATCATGTAGGCAAAATAAGAGCATTTAAGCTACTCTCCTACCCTCCTACACATTCCTAGCCATAATCATCTACAAAATCAACAAAAAGAAATGGAATTGAACAAAATCTATTTAAGAATGACCAAAGCTAGGCGATGCTAAACAAAAACATGTCACAGAATGTTAAGAACATAATAAAATCTATCGCATTTAGCAAAAGTCTGGATTAATATGATCACTAGATGATTATCCACAAGTTTCAGAAAATAAAAAAGGTTAAACAGGTCCTGAAATGAAAAGAAACGTACGGATCGCAGAGCTTCGGGGCTTTGAGCAAAGCTTCTCCTATTTCTTCCGGTCGCAGGGCTATTTGACAAATGCCAGAAACGTTACCATTTCATTATTTCAACCCCCTTTCTCATAAGCTCTTTCTCCTTGGCTCCAAAGTGTGTCCACGTGTATATATTATATTATAGGTGGTTCTACGGTACCAGAATCTGTTAGGAACATTCCTTTTGCCATTTTTAGCACCTAAAGAAATATTTGTCCGCGAACACGACTGGGTTCCAGTTTTATTTCGGGCAATCAATAACTTTAAGAGTTAATTATCAAAATAGGACTAAAAGTCATTCACTTTGCACAAATAGGACCAAAAAATAAACTATGTTTCCATAGGACTAATTATGTTTGTCTTGGACAAATATACCCTTATACCTATTGGAATGTTTTAATTCATAATAAAATAATAAAAAATAATAAAAATTCGTAAAATATACCAAAAAATTAATAAAAATATTTTGAATAATAATAAATTTAAAAAAAAAAATTCAAAAAAAATAAAAAATAAAAAAAAAATTAAAAAAAATTAAAAAAAAATCAAAAAAATATTTTTTTGTCACCGCCGCCTATACCGCCCCAGCACCACCACCTCTAGTCATTTGGGGAAAAAATGCCAAATTTATTATGAATTCCATATTTTTGGCATAATTCAGAATGATTTAAGATGGAAGAAAAAAAATGTTGGCATTCTCAAAGAGAAATATGCCATATTTTTGGCATTTTCCGAAAAAAATGGAAGTTTGTAGGAAATATGACATTTTTTTTTAACGGTCGGAGGTGGTGGTGCAGGGAGGCGGTACCACCACCTCCTGTCACCGGGGTAAAAAAATGCCAAAAAAATTATGAATGCCATATTTTTGGCAAAAGTCAAAAGGATTCAAGTTGGCAGAATGAAAATGTTGGCATTCTCATAGAGAAATATGCCATTTTTGTGGAATTTAAAAAAAAAGTGGCATTTTTTACACCGATCGGAGGTGGTGGTTCAGGGAGGTAGTACAGGCGGTGGGAAACATATCCATATTTTTTTTAATTTTTTTTATGGAGTTTTACTATTTTTTTATTAATTTTTAAAATAAAAAAAAAATTAAAAAAAAAAAATTTTCTTATTTTTTATTTTATAAAAATTTTATTAATTTTTTTATTATTTTTCTACGAATTATTGAAATTTTTTCGAATTTATTATGAATTAAACATTTAATTATGACTTTTAGCTATCTTTTACTAATATTTAAAGGAGGGGTAAGAATGGAAGGAAGAAATGAGTATGTTTCCAATAGGACCACTATGGTCCTATTTTGGAAAAAAAACATAACAAGTCCTATTTTGAGTTTTTGCCATAGTTTTAGTCCTATTTGAAGTAATTTCTATAACTTTAAACGAACCTCCATATTTGGTCATTGGTTCGGTCCCCGTTCTTATGAGAAGTGATTATATTTGATGTTTTATGTTGGACTGAAATTTGCTGGTGTGATCTGGTCTGGTCTGATCTGGTCTGGTCTGGTTTGGTCTGATCTGATCTGGTCTGGTCTGGTCTGATCTAGTCTGGTCTGGTCTGGTCTGGTCTGATCTAGTCTGGTCTGATCTGATTTGGTCTGGTCTGGTCTGATCTAGTCTGGGACTGAAAACAGTCCAAAAGAAAACATCCTCATTCTGAGGGTGGGCATCTTTAAACCATGATTTTTTCTATTAGAAGTTTGGAACCTAATCTCCCTCTATAATTTAAACATGGTTACGATTTCAAACAACCAAGACTTTGGAATCTGATTTTTTTTTGTTAGTACTAAGTGATCGCCGGATTAATCTTGGACTCCAAAAAATTTACCAAATTGAAGGTGTTAATTTCAATCGCTTGAACAATCGATCTTAATTAATCAACATCGTCATATTCTCAACAAAAAGCAAATGTCCACATTGTCCCTGGAAGCGAGATGAAGCATTACTGTCTGACCGCTTGAGCAAGCTCGAGGACTAGAAGTCGTCATTTGAGAAAAGAACTCTCGAATCACCTTATAGATGACTTAAACTCAGAGGGGACCCTAGTAGAGACCCAGGGGGCTATCGCTCTCCAACAAAATAATTTTTTAGTGTATATATATATATATATATATATATATATATATATATATATATATATATATATATATATATATATATATATATATATATGAAGAATAATCTTCACCCTCCCAAAAAATATTTTATTTAAATTACCGCCCTCCCAATATGAATTTCTAGGTCCGCCCCTGCTTAAACTCATGACCCCCAAGTGGGAAGTGGACCACTTGGACCATCCCCACTTAAGGGGTGTCCCCAATATGGATTATTACGAATTTTAAGGGAACTTAGAATTTCATCATAATTTGGATGTTTTGGATTTGAATTTGTATGGAGTCTGATAATTTTGTTGCCTTCAAATTGTCCATGAATATTAAAGCCTAAAATACAAAGGAAAGAATACGACTGAAAATCTTTGCGCACCCTTCGCATTTCAACACACTTCCCATTGAGAAGCAAAACAAAAGCAAGGTATATCCGGTCGGGTTCTTCTTGTTGTACCCACTATTGTACCCACTTTTGTACCCATCATGTCTTTATAGACATATTTTTGTCTATGACCGGGATTCACAGACAAAAAAAAACTCCTCACAGACATGGTGAGTACAACAATGAGTACAATAGTGGGTACAAACAGATTTTTCCTATCCGGTCCCCATATAACTCATATGGATCGATCTTCTTCCATCCTTTCTACATGTATGATCAAATGGTGAAGATTGAAAACGCATGCCTTGCAGAGCTAAAGAGGAATAAAGTGATTGGAGTTGGTGTAGTCCGTAATCCGTCCAAGAGTTGACCGTAGAATTTTGAAGCAGGCGAGCGGCAAAGCACGGTGAAAGAGGAACAAATCCAAGGCTTTACGGTGGGGAGATTATAAACAAGAGCTCGGAGGGAGAGAAACAAATCCAAGGAGAGAAATCTTTGGTCGAAGCTACCTTGGGGCTTCACGATGACGAGAAATCTAGGGTCGAAGCTGGATTTGAAATTTCATGGAATTTGATTAAAATCTTACACTAAATCATCGTGTTCTGATTCTCTTCTTTATACCTAGAACTCTGGTCTTGATTGATTAAGGCTTTATTTTAAACTACAATGCAATTTATTAGCTTAAAATGGAATAAACAAACAATCTCTGGATGGACCATAAAAAATTTTATTTTAACTTTTATGATAGATCGTTCGAATTCTATGCATGAAGCATGATGGCTTCGATTTTAGTTCGTATGCATGATTGATGTTTCCATCCTGATTACTTTATATTCAGAACCTCTTTGCAGACTATAATTAAGCAATGCAAAAAAATAGTAAGACTGCTTTTGGCGGAATGGGCTGTTCGACATCCTCATCCTCATCAATCAGGCTCTAACAGTGGCACCCAGAAAAACATAACTACGGGTCCCTACTATAACATTTTTTAAATTAATTAAACAAAGTAAAATATTAGAGAAACATAACTTTAAGATAATGTAAAGCAAAAAATTAAATATACAAGAGAAATCATGACCGCGAGGTTGAAACTGCCCTCTTTGAAGGTAACTACGGCGTGCCTCGTCTTGAAAATTAGAATGATAATTCAGCAATTTTTCTCAATATATGATCTAACTTCCAAAGATTCAAAATCAACATGTTGTTCATGTAGATAATAAGCCAAATTAGTTTCACTTTCAACAATTACTTAATTCAATTCTTCATTTACTAGTGACAAATTATTTTAATTAACATCTGAAATACTTCCGGTACTCCAAATTTCTTAGAATCTGGATACACTATCAAAATATCTTTGCATATTAAGTCGTAAAATATTGAAAAAACATTCATAAATACGTAAATTTATTGATTTGATCTTAATGTTTAAAGAAAATTTAATAATTAATCTTAAAAATGAATTTTGAAAAGGTCAAAGGGTAAACAAAAAGACATAGGCAAGTGGGCGGGCAAACAGAGCGGAGATCCGTTTGGTCTGAAATGGGAGAGGCAGTGGTGATCGATGATGTGGTCTATTAGAAAAATCCTAGCAAGGATAAAAAAAATGATGGAGAAGGGAATCGAACCCCATACATCAGGGTGAGGGAAAGTTTTGAAATAGCGCGTGCTGCCGTTCCACAGCTCCGATCTTTAAGCTAATACTAGCTTTTACTGTTAATATAACTTATTAATTAATTTTATAAGAAATATATATAATATATATAGGTACTTTTGGAAGTTCACGGGGTCCCGAGACCCGTGGGACCCTTAGTGGGTCCGCCACTGGGCTCTAATGTATCACAATGTGAACTTGAAAATGTTGAAGTAGGTAGGTTGCTTACTTGAAAATGTTGAAGTAGTAGGTTGCTTACAGATCATGGCATGCTGGATTAGGCATGGACCGGTACCGAGCCGGGCTTTTAGTTTTTGGGTTAAGGCCCGGTACCGGCCCGAGATTCTACCGGGACCGGCTCAGGCCGGGTTCAATTAATTTTTTTTTTAACTTTTCTAATTAATTCCTACCCCCCACCTGTGCATGGAGCCGGGCCGGGCCCGGTCAGGCTTTTGAGGAATGGGGGAAGGCCCGGAACCGGCCCGAGTTGCCACCGGGTACAGGCCGGGCCTCGGGCTACTTAGGTTTTTTTTGGCTTTTCTACTTAACCCCCTCACCCCCCACCCCGCCCAAAACACCCCAAAACACCCAGCCCCAACGCAGAATAAACAAAATAAAATTGAAAAAAAAATGCCCAGAACCAGGCCGGTTCGTCTTTTGGGTGACCCGAGCCCACACCGTAAAGCCCCCGGGCCGGGCCTACCCGGACCGGTTCTTGGCCGGGCCACCAGTTCAGGCCAGTTCCAAATAGTGCCGGGCTGGGCCGGTTCCGGGTCGGACCACCCGGCCCGAGTCCATGCCTGTCCCCACCCCCCAAACTTCGCCAAAACACTCAGCCCAACCCGCCTTCCACCAAAACACTTTGAAAAAAAATTGGCCCGGACCAGCCGGGCCGGTTCCAAGAGGGGCTGAGCCCGTGACCCGCCCCAAACCCCCCCTCCGATCCAGGCTCCAGGCCCGGTTTACCGGGCCGGGCCGGTACCACACAGTGGCGGTCCGGGCCGGTCTGACCGATCTTGGTCCATCCTTATGCTGGATCGCTTAGCTGACCGTCTGACCTAGTTCTATAAGGATCTGATCATCTGATTATATTTTCTTTACCCCTAATCAGCATCCC